TACGCATCGCTTGCGTGCCAAGCCGGGTCTAACGGGACACTTGAAATGAATTAGAAAAGACATAGAAAAGATGAACGTGGATGATAAGCATCACTACGCATCTCTAGCACCCCTAGCAGCAATGATGATAACCATCACGACGCATCGCTTGCATGTCAAGCCGGGCCTAACGGGACACTTGAACAGTATATAGAAAAGACTTGAGAAAGACGAGTCATGACGACGATCATGAAAAAGATATAGAAAAGACTTGACAAAACAAGTCATGACGAGGGTCCTGAGCATGGATTTTAAGCATCACGACGCAGCCTGAGCACCCGCAGCATTTCCAGCAGCGACAGCATCTCTGGCAGGGACAGTGCCGATTCTTGCCATCGCCCTTCCCTCGCGCCTCCACCTTTAGGCGAAGGGGGTCGGCGGACTTCTAGTCTGCAGCGTCGCCGCGAATTTTGCCGCACTTCTTGTCCGCTGCGTCGCCGCGAATTTGGCCTCCACAGCATAGCGCGAATTTTGCCTCACTTCTTGTCCGCAGCATCGCCACGCATTTTGCCTTACATATTTCGGGGGGAGGGGGGCAGGGGCGTTGGAGGACACGCCGGTACACTGGCCAAAAGTTCCTTTACCAGACAGAGATGAAGAGATGGTGGCGGGCGCAGCGAGTCGAAAGAGGGCGCTTCGCAGGAGACTTGGATGGATCGCCTGCTTGATGATCCTGCCTACTATCCTTTGGAGGCGATCCCAAGAGCGGAATTTCGGGAGCAACGTGCAGCTCACGAAATGCGCCTGCGCACGAGAAGGGCAACGGGGCCAGATGGTCTTGGCGCAGGGGAAGCATCAGCGTCTACGACAACTGGCTGGCTATGGTCGAGAACTGCTTTCTTGGTGTGACCACACCTGCGCCAGGAAGTGAATCTGAGTGGAAGAAAATCATGAAAGATCCCAAGCATGCAGCCGAGAACGTTCAGAAGGGGCCGAAGTCGACTGGCGCCGCGTCTTTCTGAAGATCAACGGCGGGCAACGGCTGAAGCAAAACAGCTTGAAGTTGATTAGTGGCTAGTCCAGAAAGTGTGCGCAAAAGCCAACGTTCCGATTCCAAAGCAGAGGCTTCTTGGCTTTGCTGACCCAGATCTGGGCAAGTTGCAGACATCAGCTCCAACCCTGTCCCGGAGAGGGAAGATGCTCGTGCTGAACCTCGCGACCCACAGAAGATGGAAGATGCTGAAAGCAGATGCAAAATCAGCGTTTCTTCAACTAACGGAGAGCCACACAAAGAGAGATGTTTTTGCTGACTTGCAGAAGGGCTAGGCCTTCCTGTGGGACAAGCAGCGTGTCTTCTGAAAGCAGCGTGTGGCGTGGCATCAGCGACGCGTGCGGGAGTGGTTTCCTGATGTGTGTCAGGTAGTGGAACAGCGGTGTGGATTGCAACGCCTAACGTGCGAACCTTGCATTTGGGTGATGGTTGAAGGCGGCAACACCGGCATGATTGGAGCACTCGTGGATGACTTCTTGATTTCTGGTGATGAGTCCAATCCGAGATGGGTGAAATCGATCAGAATCTTTGGCGAGGCCATGAAGTGGTCACTTTGGGAAGTTGTGCCTTTCACACACTGTGGTGTTGGGCTCAGTCAGCGGCCGGCCTGGGGCTTCATGCTTGATCGAACAGAGTCTTGCGCAGAGCTGAAGCAAGCCGAGTTGACGTGATCTGACTGAAGGCGAACGAAGCCAACGCAGAGCACTTTTAAGACCTTTAAGCCATAAAGTCTTAAAATGTGAGTGTCTTAAAGCCTTAGAATCTTAACTATCGTGGGTACCTTGAAATCTTAAAACCTGAAGAAACTTATGGTCATAAAGGCTTAGAACCTTAAATAGTTAGAACCTTAACATCTGAAAACCCCAAAACCTTCCAATCTTGCAAGCTTAAAATCTTGAAGCTTTAGACTGATAGAATCTGAAAAATTTACAAGCTTGAAAACCTTAAAACCAACCTTCACAAAAACACGGCAGCCAGAGACAACCAGCAAATGGGAAGCTCTACAAAAAAAGCCCACTTCACGAAAAGCAGCAGGCCGACCAAGCAGGCCAATGACAGGTTCTGAGAAAAGTCCATCTTCGCCAAAAGATGGCAGGCAAAGCCAACAAGTAAATGGGGAAGCCTGACCAAAGAAAACCAGTTCACGAAAAGCAGCAGGCCCACCAAGCCCCTGAATAGCATCCACCTTCATCAAAAACAGGCAGCCACACACAACGAGCAAACGGGAAGCCCTACCGAAGAGAAACCAGTTATAAAGCAGCAGGCCAACCAAGCAGGCCAATGACAGGCCCTGCCTTTGGAGCAAGACTCTAGAGCGAAGCTCTGTGGGGCTGCCGATCTCTGCCGCCGACCAGGGCACGCAAAGAATGACCCAGCATCGCCGGAAGTTTTGCCGTACTCCTTGTCCGCTGCATCGCCGCGATTTTTCCTTACTTCTTATCCACATCATCGCCGCGAATTTTGCCTTACTTCTTATCCGCTGCATCGCCGCGAAATTTGCCTTACTTCTTATCCACCGCATCGCCTTGAATTTTTCCTTACTACTTGTCCGCTGCATCGCCGCGAATTTTGCCTTACTTCTTATCCACAGCATCGCCGCGAATTTTGCCTTGCTTCTTGTCCGCAGCATCGCCGCAAATGTTGCTTTAGCACTTTTCCTTAAATTTTGCCTGACGTTTCGGCCCACAGCATCGCCGCACATGTTGTATTCCTTGTTGTCCACAGAACCGCCACGAGTTTTGCCTTACTTCTTGCCCGCAGCATCACCCTCAATTTCGCTCACTTGTTGTCCACAGCATCGCCGCACATTTGGCCTTGCTTCTTGTCCACAGCATCGAGGCACATTATGCCTTGTTTCTTGTCCACGGCATCGCCACAATTTTCATCTTCCTGCTTGTCCACAACATCGTCGCCCTTTCGCCTTACTTCTTGTGCACGGCGTCGCCGCTTTATCCACAGCATCGACGCAAGCATCACTGCCCCCCCTGCATCCCAAGCGATGTCTAACGTCAGTATTGAGATGCATTTTCAAGAGCAGGGGGGTATGAGGGTGACTACGCTTTCGATGGTGATTATGATTATGCGCAGCCCGTCCAGCCTCTCTTTTTATTCAGCTTTCGTTGGCCAACCTCTCAGGTTTGTTTGCAGGCTTTAGGCACACAACTTAAGCTTGCTTTGGCGGATCGATTGCCAGTGTTTGTAAAGCTTGGCGACTGTGGTATTGGTACGCGAAGCTTGCCAGCAACAGACGCGGGCGTTTTTGTTTTGTTGTGTTTGGCTTTCGTCATCAAGGAGGCCGAACCCGCTTTCAGAGCGTTGCTTGAAACAGATGGATATGCATCAGACCCGGTTCACTTTCCAGCCGGTTAGTTCATGATTTTCATCTCTGCTTCTTGCCATGAAAGAAGGCAGTGATTCTTATGTCAAAACTGGCTTCTTGGCCTTGAAAGACGGAAACGTTTTGCGAGGGGTCCGAGCTGAAATTTGACAGTGGCTGGCCGGCCATGGCTGGCTGGCTGTTGGCATGTTGCCAGCTGGGTGCTGTGTTGGATGGCTGCGGGCCTGCAAAGGAAGGACTGAGAGAGGCCCTCTTGGCGCCTCCCCATCTCTAGCATGTAGTATTTTTGCGCAAGTAGTCTATGCAAAATGTATATACAGGCTATTGCCGCAAGCTTCTCTTGACCCTTCCGAGAAAACTAGACGCATTTGTGTACGCTAATTCAGATATAGGACGCCTTTTTTGCGCGCCCCTGGCGCGTGTTGAAGCGATTCTTATTTACAGATTCTCGGTGCAAATGTTTGTTCGTGTTTGCGCTTCCAATTTCAAGCGCGTGTTCGAACTCCTTATTTACTCCTCACCTTTCGCTGAACAAATGCCAGTAGGGCCGGCAAAGCCGGCGGGGGAAATTTGACAAGCGCAAGCACCTAAAGCGTTGCAAGCGACCAGGAGCGTTTGCAAGGCCTGGGGCTCCCAACACGCTCTTTGCCATCCGCATTCTTCTTTGTAGCCGTCCATCCAAATCTCCGTCTGTTTGTTGGGGGTCTACATTGCGAATACTATGTAGCCATTTGTTTACCTATCCTGCTGTCTACCAATCCATGAAATTTGCATATGTGTACATACAAAAACATGTATAGTGTACACATGTACACATTATAGATATACACATACCCACATTTATTTTCTATTTTGAGCGTCTATGTACACGTTGAAACGCATCCCTGTGTGCAACTGCCCTGTCCCTTTCTGCACACCTTGGCGCATTGCAGTACATCATCCTGCCACAGCCAGACAGGGATTTACACACACGTCAGGTAAACAGGTGAAACAGTTGCTCCGATTTTGACATGGTAGCAGCAGTGTGTCACGACAGCGCACTTACCCTGTGAACATCCTGCGGCTTGTCCCAACACACACACCACGAGTCACCGGAGCACCAAGCTTGAAGAAAGGAAATACAAGATGTCAGGATACTTCGGACTGCGAAATGCAGCATAAAACATACTGCCGAAACAGCCAGAGCAATCGCAACCACAAGTCGCAAAAGCGCCAACAAGTTGCAAACCGCATGAAGCAATCGCCCAAGGCCTTGATGACAGCAACGCACATCCAGTCCTCACAGCAACTAACACCCAATCTGGGACGATCATGCCACGCAACTGACCGACAAGATTCTGCTCTTCAACCATGCAGATGAGATCAGGAAGGTTTCCTGACAGAACGCCGGTTGGACAAACACTGCATCTAATCTATCCTCCAATCTATCCTATCTATCCTAGCGCTCCGATACCCAGCTATCTGGCTGGCTGGCGGTCGGCCGGGTTGGCTCTTGCCCCCGGCTGGCTGACTTTGCAGCTAGCTGGCTTCGCTGGCCGGGATTGGCAAACTTTCCGGCCGGACGGGCGCAGACTTCAAGAGACACGCTTGCATCACAATGCCCGGGCCGGGCCCCTGACCAAGCCTTGCGAGGAGCCTGCGCACGAGCAGCTGGAGTCAGATTTGCGCAGCTGGCCGGCGACTCGGCATCTCGGCGCGCTCCGCGCCTGGAGGGGCCATGACGTTTGCCTTTGAGCAAAAATGTAGCTCCCCAAGCGCGCGGGCTTCATTTTTGCTATGTTGGCTGGGCAATGAGAAACATTGAGCAACTAGCGCGCAGCCCTTGCCGAGTCGCGGAGTGATTTGGCATTTCTCTTCAAAACAGCCAAGCAGTAATGTGGGATCACTCCTAAGACACACCCTTTTGTTGTTTGGCCGAACTTGAGAACCATCCCACAAGAAGGCCAGGAAGGCCCAGTGAATTGCGCTTGCTCGCAAGTGCCTTTGTGTAAGGTGCCTCGTTTCTCCTGAGCCAGCTCTTGACGGAAAGGCAGGGGATGGGTTGAACAGATGCGCTGTTGGGGCCACGTGAGTGAACTCGGCTTGGCCCGACGAGAGATTCATGCAGATTTTATCTTGTGAGTTTCACATCGTTTTGAATTTTCAAGTCGGAGACAAAGTAGGGAAGAAGTGGCTTGTAGCATCAACGTCGACAGGTGAGTCCTGAGTGCGCAGAAGGTTCCAGTTGCGTTACTGGGAAAGAGCTTCAGCGGAGTAAGACTCGCTACCCCTTGGATTTCACTAGGCCCGATGAACACACTTGGTTGTCTAACAGCTGATGTCAGTTGTCTCGGAACCAGATATTGACATTTTGAGCGCCTGCTCGTTGCGCGCGTGTTGCGCTAGTGCCGAGTTGCAGTTTGACAGGGTCTTAAGGCTTCAAGGAACTTGAGAACTTGTTTCATACTTTGGGGCCGCGCAATGGGAAGGAAGGATAAGACCAGACTGGATTAGAAAAGGCCCGACAGCTGGCATCAAATGCGCGATGCCCGGCTGATTTGCACGTACCCTGCCAGATGGAACTCACCAGGAGGCCCTTTGAAGAACATAGTCTTGCAGGGGCCTCCGGCCAAGTTGCATGTTATTTGGAAGGCAGCTCTTGGCACCTTCCGGAAGCGCCTCTTTGGCACTATTCGTGGCGGGTCCAATGTTTTTCCGCTTCTCTGTGTCCTGTGTCTGTGTCTTGTCTCTGTCTGCACGTGTGTCTGTGTGTGTGTGTTTGTTTGGTTGGTTCAATTGTTTTGTTGCTTGCGTGTTTATTCCTTTGTTCGTTTGCTTGTGTGTGTTTGTATGTGTTTTGTGTTTGTTTGCCTGCTTGTTTGCCTGCTTGTTTGTTTGTGTGTGTGTTTTTTCGGATTGTTTGGCTTATATGGTTTGTTTGTTTGATTGTTGGTTGCTTGGTTTGTTTGTGTCTTTGTTTGTTCGTTGGTTTGTTGGCATAGTGGTTTCTTTCTTTCTTTCTTTCTTTCTTTCTTTTTTTCTTTGTTTGTTTGTTTGTTTGTTTGTTTGTTGGTTTACTGTAAAAGCTACGCGCTGCCCGCCTCGGCCCAGCCGGGCGTGCAGCGTCTGCCGTTCGATTGCAAGCAGAGCTGGTCCAGTGGCGACTCAGGAGCGGACAGGTTCTGGCGTCGCTGGACCAACGCAGTTGCATCGGCCAGGGGCGACCGGGTTAGGGGCAAGTGGGCAGACGACAGGGTGGGTCCGGCCCCTTCCAGACAGTGTTGGGGATTTTGGCTGCACGAGAAGGTTACGGGTAGGAGGAGGAGGCTTGCTTCAGACAGAATCCAGGCAGCTGGAACAAGGATGCAACAACAGGATAATTGAGGCTGACCGCTTCTATGGGGGTGAGGGGCTGGCATTGGCAAGGTCGGCTGGCTGGCCTTTTTGGCTTGAACAAGGCCAGGCACTTCCAGGCCCGCTTCAAACAAGCCTGGCCAGCAGGAGGTCAGGCCTCGCGCGTTGCTGGGCTTGCGGGGCCAGGCCTGAGTTGCCGCGCAAAAAGCGAGCGCCCTTCGGCCGAGGCGAATTTACTGCTTTGTGTCTCTTTTTGCTTGTTTGGTTGGTTGTTTGTTTGTTGGATTGTTGGTTGCTTTGTTTGTTTTTGTTTTTGTTGAAGTGTTGTTAGTGTGTTGGGTTATTTGTTTGGTTGAGTATGTGAATGTGTGTTTTGTTTTGTTTGTGTGTTTGGTTGTTTGTTTGATTGATTGATGGATTGATTGATTGATTGATTGATTGATTGATTGATTGATTGATTGATTGATTGATTGATTGATTGAGTGAGTTGATTGTTTGTTTGTTTGTTTGTTTGTTTGTTTGTTTGTTTGTTGGTTTGATTGTGCGCGTGTGCTTTTTGATTTCTTTGTTTGTTTGTTGGCTTCTTTGTTTGTTTGTGTTTGTTTGCTGTATGTTTGTTTGTTGTTGTGTGTGCGCTTGTTTTTGTTTGCTTGTTTGCTTGTTTGATTGTATTGTTTTACAGCATCAGCAGTTCTAGCATTCGCGCTCAGCGCGACATCATCAAATCCTGTACACTGCCATCAAGGCAAAACTTTCGGTGAATTCGGGAGTAGGAGGCAGCCTCAACCAAGGATGAATGCAAATATCCGCCTTGTCTTGACCGCGGGCTTCGGATGGACTCCCTCAAGTGTTCGTCACCGGCGTGTCTGTTGGGCAGTTCGGGCCTTGAAGTTTGTGCTGCTCCGCAGGTTGAGCCCCAAATGTCGCAAGGGCCTCGGCTTTCCGCATCGGAGCGCAGCTGTAGCTTTGCTCCATTCTATGTGCAAGCCGGGGAAAGGCAAGGGCCACACATGCCCCACAATTTCAGATTCCTTTGGCTCGTCACCGGCTCTTGGATCTCTGCCTACCTCTCCTGTCCGACTTCCGACTTGTGTTCGTACTGGGTGTTTGAGTCAGGCTCAGTGGCAAGCCGCCGCCTTTACCACGGAAGGAGGAGGTTCATGGGTGTCGGAAATAGGGAACGTTTCAGGCGGTGTTACTCGAAGGGCCCAGTTTTGGGCGCCCGTTTTGACCTCCAAGACATACCCCCCGCCCCCGCACTAAGTAGATCAATTGAACCCCCCTGAGCTCATAATAGTTCTATGCCAGTTTTCGGAGGCCTCACAAAATCCCTCACAAAACTAAATGCAAGTGTGCTCGGCAGAGACTGGAACCTGCCCGAGGTATGTTTTGCATACGTTCACGTTGCTGGCGCCTAACAGTACCCAAGGACGCCTGATTAACTTGTGGTCGCAAACTACCGGACAGGAGGACAGTTGCAGAAAAGCAACAAATGCAAAACTCTGTTGATCGGAGGTTGCCTGAGTCTCTGAACAAGGTCAAGAAGGTGCCAAACGAGTCAGGGTGGCTTCTCAAGTAGCTTTGCCCGACGAGAGAAATTGATAGAGTTTGGCTTCCTATATCGGTGCATTCAAGAAAACGCATAGGACAATTGCACCTGTACAGAAATCCCACGTTTAATTCCCCCTGTTTTCCTATCGTCCTCTGGCTACCATGGTTGCTGATAATTTCAGAAATGACACGGGGGGGGGCAAATAGTTTTATGAAAGGAAATGATACTGCAAGAGCGGAAAGGGACCCGCCAACACCCCGAACTAGATGACCCCTGATGAATTTCCTGCAGTTCCTCCTTTTGGAGAACTGTGAACATTTAGGTTGGATCTTTGACTCAAATGTTGTTGGTGGACATAAACCCAAACGTGTTTGTTTGATGTCCAACGGTGCGTGAACTGTTGAAATTATTTCGCAGCCGCCTTAAACAGAGCCGCATGGGAAAAGCAGTTTTTGATATTCTTTGTTTTGCCCAACAAAGATATGGACGGGTGCTGCTTGTTTCTGCCCGCTTGTGCAGCTGCAGGCGCCCTTGCAGCAGCTTCGCCGGAATCTGGCGGAGCGCGGGGACCAGGGGTGTGCTAAAACACCTGGAAGCCCAGGACAGCTTGCGCGGACGGGCACAAGTGTCGACTAGAGATGCTCTACTGCAAAAAGCGATGCCGAGGCTTGACGTCATTATGGCGCGCCTTGCGCACAGGAACGCGGAAAGGCGCCAATGAGTCTGAGGTGTACGCGGGGTTTATTTAGTGCATGGTGAGATTGTAGGCCGCGGAACCCCACTTTAAATGTAAGCGAGGTTGTGTGTATGTTCACTGTCTGTATGGTTGTATATAAATATATGTGCTCACCCCACGCTTTCTTCTTCAAGTTGGGCCAAATCCTCATATTTTAAAGACAGAGGGTGTGAGCATATATACGCAAGAAGTATGCTGCTGTTGCATAGTTTGTGCGGGTGATAAGTCTGTTGAGTAACAACAGCGAAGAGTTTATAAACTTTGAGGAAAGTTTATGAACTAAGGGTTTGACGGTTTCCCTGCAACAAGGCAACACCTGGGCACCTGGGAGGAGGTTGAGAGGTCTGGGGCATGGGGAGGGACCCCCCCCTTCCCAGGGTGTTGCCTTGTCGCGCAGCAAATGGATACTGCTGTTTGGGGAGAGGGGTGTTTGCGGTCGAATCCAATCTGGGCAATTTTTGCAAAACACTGTGTTTTACAGCATTTTGTTGGATCTCTAATCCCCTGAAATGTCCCTTTCCAAGTGTTTCTAAGCACATAGTTCACCACCATTCATAATTCACCATAATGTCTATATTTGATCAGAATTTGAACAGGAATACCTTTCCAAAAATAGGAAATATCATTTCAGTAGAGTCTAAGTATGCTTTAATGCAGACAGAATACAATTAGCTTTTGAAAATAAGAAATTAATCAAGAATCCATCCCCAAATACAACTTGAATTGGAATAGAGCTTATTCTGGAAAGAAAATACTTGGCCCTTGCAAACAAATTTTAATAGTAATTCATTCCCAAATATGATGTAGCTTAAATGTGGCTAAACAAATAAAGGGCACATATCCCCAGACTCCCAAACTTGGTCTGGAGATGTGTTTGGCATGCGCAGGTCTCAGAGCTTTCATTTTCACGAGGTTTTGTGCTTTTGGGTCTGTGCAGGTTGCAGAGCTCAAAGCTGCAAAAAACAAGATTGTTTCGATGCTTTTCCCTGGTGTACTCACAACCGCTGTAAAAACCAGTGTTTTCAATCAAAGCCAGACTCGAATCTAAAAACGGATTCCGTTTTCGCTTTGTTGCCTCTCAATCTGAAACAAAGCAAACATTTGCTGTCATACAGAAGGTCAAACACCAACAGACACACTGTATTTTACAGTGTTTTCAGGCATCTACAAGAACGAGGCACACGGAGTAGACTTGACACCTTCAACTAGAAGAGATGAAAAGTGGGCCCTGGGGGGGTGACCATATATATACACAAATACACACGCACCCCGCCTGATGGATCTACTTTTCTCTGTTTGAAGGCAATGTTGGGCGCGCAATGCAGTTGTTTTATTTGGCTCGCCTCATGCAACTTGACTCTCATCCCAAGCAAGCAAATCAAAATTGAAATAGCAACCCAAGCAAACAATTCCTTTGAAAAGGACATCCTACACACATTACTTTTAAATTAGAAGCTCTGCTAGACTTATGTCATTATTCACTCCACCAAAATTCTAAACAGAAGTGGAACACACACACACCATGGGAAAGGAAGTCCCCGATCATCCTACAACTTCTAGCCTGATTTGTTCACTTTTCATGTCTACGTATCTTCTTGATAGAAAATTGAAGACGTCATCCTGGAAAAGGACATCCTTTTCAAGGTCTAATTTCAGATGCTAATTCAACTGAAACAGCTTCTTTACTAAACGCCAATTAGAATTGTCTCTACAACTAGACATTATACTAGCCGTGTTTCCCGAAATGAGTGTAGTTCGATTTTGATTACACACGTGAACATGCCGTTATGCCTGTGCTTACTTTTTACGTTTCTGTTCTCAAGGCCACGGGGATGGGTAGTTGCCATGTTGCAGTTGCGTGTTCGCAGTTTGCGCAGCTACTGACATTGGGGTATTGCCAAAACTACTTGCTGTCCTTGTTGGAATCAAAGAGGGCCGGCATGTTTGCAGCAATCCACCAGTCTCGCAGCTATGCCTGCTGTATGTTATGGCGCGAGAGTCGCTTGACCTCCCTACAGATTCGCATCCTGGAGGACAAAAGGGGGTCCGCGAAAGGAATCAAGCATTGTTTTTTTGGCTGGGGGTAGATACTTTCCTGCCGAAGCGCAAGATGAGAGTGTCACATGTGTTTTGCCTGTTTATTTACATCCCGAATCCCGCAAAAATCCCGCCACGTCATTGCAGGCAGGCTCCACGCGTTGAGGCCGGGCGATGAGATTTGCGGAAAGCTTGCTTTGCAAAGTGCAGACCACGTCCCACAAAGCGTGAGCTACTAGGTTTATCCCAGTGTCTAGTGCCTTTTGGGATGTGGTTGGGCTCATATGTAAGGCCTGCTGCCGTTTGCCTTTTTTGTGTGGGCCGATCCGCTTATTGATTCGCACGTTTCAGGCGCTGCGGAAAGCAAATTGTAAGTTGGACGGGTAGCATCTGTAAGTTTCTTGAGTGCGCTGGCGGCGACCCTCGGATCGACGAGTTCTGCAGGCAGGGTCAAGAATAGAATTGTAAACGAAGAACAAAGTTGCTAAAATGTGTTTTCGGAGCGTCGAAGAATGCAAGCTGGACCTGCTTGTTCAGGCGACGTGAGGAAGCACTGCCAAGGGAATGCAAAGTGAATGGGCAGGAAGGATTGCCTAGAAGTTGTCGGAAACCGGCTTGCCAAGGCCAAGGCGCATATCTAGGTATGTCCAAGAATGTCAGCTACTGCTTCGTTCATCTTCGCGATTGTGGGGTGACAGCCGTTGGTGCCTCGGAAAACTGTTTCCCTTGTTTTCGGCCAATTGGGCAGGAGTGACTGCCTACAAGTGGCTACGAAGGAAATCGTTGCTGTTGAAAGTAGGGTAGAGGCGCGCTGTACATTCATTGCACGCTTGGCTCAAGACAAAGCCGCGCCAGGAGCTTTCCGGGTCCCGACCCTGAAAATGCGCTTGCCCGCTACTTCGGTTGTATCTCGGGGAGAAGGTTTGCAGAGGAGCCTTTCCAGGATCAGCAAGCTGCAGGCAGGCCACACAGAAGAGAAGGGGCAATTGTACCAAGAGGCTCTGTCACACATCAATGAGAAGCAAGAGTACATGGTCCGGGAGCATGAGTTTAACGAGGGCTCGAGAACAAGAGTGCGAAAGATGGTTCTGATAGCCAGATAAATGAGTTGAAAGAAATCCTGGCAGCCTAGGGACATTGAACCCTTGAGGATGGAACTCAATCCCCGCCTGTACAGTCTCAGTCTAGCGGTTTGCAGCCAAAGGTGCGTTTCCAGCTCGGGGAACCACCAGCCCATGATCCCGATGATGATCCCGGTGGTGATGATGAGCGCGATGGCGACGAGAAGAGCGCGAAGGACAAAAAGAAGAAAAGGACAAGAAGAAGAGCAAGAAGGACACAAAGAATAAGAAGAGCCACAAGAAACGAAAGAGCGGCCCTCCCTCCGATTCTCCAAGCTCTTCATCATCCTCAAGTTCTTCTTCCTCATCGTACTTATCTTCAAAATCTTCACACAGGGGAAGCAGGCAACAGCTCAAGAAAAGGCCTTAAAAGGTTTTGAGCTTTGGCGTCCGTGGCTCAAGCAGCAATGCTGATACCCGAAAATCACAGGACTTGGCGCGCCAGGGTCCGTGAAGCCGACGTGCGGCGTCAGATTGACCTGATGAGGTTTCAAGTGGGCGAGAGACACGCGAGGCAGGGCTGTCCAACTCCTTGCACATCCTGGTGCTTTCCTGGTCTTGGATGCTAAGTTGCTGTCAGCCCTTACGAACAAAAATTGCGGCAATAAAAAGCATCCTGGAAAGGGTTGCCGAACAATGACCCGGCACAACCCTGAAAATCTGTTCTCCCTCAAACAGGGCTGCGCATTGGGCCCGCAGATGGCCAAGAACGCTCTGGCCGGTTTCCCCGCGGTGCTTGGCCACACCTGCGACCTCCGTTTGCTTTAGCCCGATCCTTTTTGGAGCCCGTTGCAGCACGGAGTCCGTCTTCACCAGCGACGAGGCCTTCATGTCGCCCGAAGGGGTTCGAAACCTCTTTGCGGTCTTCACCTTCCTCACAAAGAGGAACGAGCTTCTCTGTTTCAACAGGGCCAATCCCCAGCTTCGTACGTACTGCAGGGAGGCCTTGCGCACAGAGTTGCCTCCCGTCAGGGAGTCAGGGAGCGTGGAAGAACCGGTGCACTATGGTCAAGCAGACAGCCAACGGGAAGGAGCTGATTTGGGCCGCATAGTCACCCACCTTTCGACGGGCGAATTGAGCGAAGGTGACAAAGCGCGTGGCAAGGGCGCGTGGCCAGACTCTACAAGCAGGACCGAGTTGGCGCCCTCCTCCTAGGCGCGGCGCAAAGAAATCTGAGGCGATGGCAGTGGCTCGGGCGCAAAGCTGCAACTTTCGAACGCGCGGGCAAAGTGCCTTAGATGCGATGGCCACGGCTTCCGCCGGGCGTCGCAAAGTCTTGCAATATTCATGTTTTGAAGTTCGGCCGAGGCGCCGCGCTTGCGTGAGGCTTGCGTCAGTTCTACACAACGCTGATGGCAAGAAAAGGTACTTGAATCCACAATCATGCGCGGTGTTGGTCATGACGGCTTTTCGCGCGCCAGGATGAATAGGAAGGCAGCTCGAGCTCGCCAGTAGTGAGCGTGTGAGCGTGCCCTGAAGCTCACGAGCAGCGACGCAAAGAACGACGGATTTCTCCACTGCCAGGAGTGCAGGACGGACATGGTTCACTGGACGGACGCACGCGTCGCGACAGCTTCGGGAAGACTGCCGCTTTGCAAACAATATCAAACAATTGTTTTGTTTATGGAGCATTTCCACACTGGTGGAGAGCGGGTCCGCTCCCACCTCCGTCGAGGCGTCGCTGAGGAAGACGGCCCAGCGATCTGGCTTTCTAGGAGCTGTCCATCGACCCCTTTTACGCTGACGCCCGAAAGCTTTGGCTTCCTGGGCACAATTGCTTCTCACCGTTCCTCCGCAAAGCGGGGGGTGTTGTTGAATAGTCTTCATAGGAATAGTCTTCATAGATGATGTAGAGTAGAGTTGCGTTGTGTATTCATTGCGCACTTGGCTCAAGAACTTGCCCTTGCTGTATTTTAGGTAGTTCTGACCTTTCAAGAGTCGTCTTACCAAAGCGCTTTTGTTGGTATTTGAACAATGCAAATTGGCGCCGTGACCTCGCCATCTCGCACTTTTTTTCCACCTTCAAAGGTGCATGTTGGCTCAAACGCCCGAACAAATCAAGAGCAGGGCTTCTCACATTTCTACGAAGAAAGCTTGGCTAGTACCATCACGGTTACGACGCGCGTCTCTTGCTCATTGGCCCTCTGAACTTCGGAAGGGCCTTGGATGGCCGTGTCGTCCAAGCAGGATTGCGCACAAGGCCGAGAAAGCTGAAATCGTTTGAGCAGTCTGCGGTTGCAGACACAAATTTCTTGAGCTTAATGCATGGTCAAGCGCAATAATCAGCACCTGGAAAACAACACGCAATCTTCAGATGGCGTGATCCACCCGCGCCCGTCTGCCACAATATGCAAACATGTGTGTTCCGGTAGCCCAACCTCGGCGAAGGCAGTGATTGTTGCGCTGTATTGCGCGAGAGCCATTCAGCAAGAAATGCCTTGCTCTGCAACATTGGGAGTCAGCAAGGCAATCTTTGCCGCGGACATGCGCCAAGTCATGCGTCTGACCACTTGTACATTCGTTTTGCAACAATTGTGTCAAGCGCATGCTTTCCTTCTGCTCAGGCTAACGTGTTGTTGAGGCGGTTGTTGCAAGGATGTGTGCGTCAGCTCATACATCTGCAGTTTCACCTTCAATGTCTGACCAGACTGCAAAAGAAAAGGGCTGAACCGCAACATCTCAGGAGTCTCTGTAGCCCAGCAACTGTTGCTAGCTGCGATCCTATGTGAGACAGCCTCGTGAATTCAATGAGCCCCTGCGAAGATCTCGTTCTTCCACAAACAAGAATGGTAGCGCGTTCTTTGAGACGACTTATCTTCATTGTCGCAGTAGGACGCGTCTGGGTGACGGCCTTGTTGATACGGCCGGTGATGTTGCTCGCGATGCGCAACGCGAGAGCTGACAACTAACGTGGAACTGAGTTCGCGATTGCAACGATCTCATTTGTCCTAAAACGTTTTGCTTCTGTGTGCGCTCCGCATCTGTGGTGTTACCAGGAGGCTCCGTGTCCCAAGTTTCCTTGGCTTTTTGAGCTAAGGTGTCCTCGGCCACTTGCGCTCGTTGGCTCCCGTAAAGCTGTGAAAACTCGGCCGAGCGGCTGTGATAACTCGCGCGGGGAACTGAAAGGCCGTTACTACTCCGTGAAAATGCCGTAAACGCCCGTGAATTTTCACGCCCTGAGGTATCTTGTCCACGGCCCAAGTAACTTGCGACTCCGAGTCTCCTGGTAGGGGGGGTGTCATCCTTCAAGTTCCTCCTGAAGTTCATCTATGGCAACATTCTGACGGACGTTGACGCACCAACGGTGCTGATCACCCTTCTTCCACTGAATGCGTTGTTCTACGACAAGGCAACAGTTCTTGTCTTCTGAACCAACTCGGAAGTCTTATCGAATTCGGCCCATGGTTTCTCATCAAACACATCGTGACCAACCGTAAGCAGATCATCACGGACTGTCGGTGTTGTTTCCAGAAACAGGGCCTACGAGATAATCAGTTGCTCCCTCAAGATCAAAGATGCTGGATGCTTTCTTTTCACTTGTCGATGAGGGCTTTGGAAGAGGCTCGCCGCTGTACTTATGTACACTGGTCTGCTCTTATCGGTACTGGTCGATTTGACCTGAGTCTTTCTCAAGTTCCACCATTTGTGTGGTGCGTCACTCAGCCCGTAGCTGTCTTATCAGTTGTCAGTTTCTGAAGAACCTTATTTGGGCCATTGCTATGGGCCACTGTTTTTGTTGTTGACGTGAGGGGGGGGGGACACCAACCTGCAAGTTTGATTTTAGTGAAAGGGCGCCCCAAATAGGGGCCAATTCAAGAAACTGTTTGTGCCAGCGGGTTCTTGATTGCTCCACCCAGAACAACCAAAGCAATTATGTGTTCTCCTGTTCCGAGGGGAGTTTGACAGTGGTCAACGAAAGTCATGTCGCCAAACGTACCCGATCGAAGTGCATTTGTCTTCCTTCTTGACAGTGCTTGCTTTGCTGCTTTTTACACTCTGCGCGGGTCTTCTCAAAGAGGTCGTAGATTAACTTCGGCAGATGAAGTGATTGCGTTCATGGGTTCTGCCTAGGCAAGAGGAAGTGTTGTATGCTGCAGCAGGGCTTGGCCCAACGCTCGACCGACCCTGCTTGTCGATTATCCTATCTGCTGACCCTGATGAACCTTCTTCTCCGTCCTTCAGCGAATTGTCTGCAAGTGTAAAGAAAGGCCCTGCCTTTCCACAGGTGGTACGTTCGCGCCCGTTGTCTGGATCAATTGAACACTCCTTCACTCCTGTCGGTGTGAACATTGCCAGCGGTGACGTGAACGCGAGTAAGTTGCTTGTTTTTCGTGTCGATGATCGTCCTTCCTGGTCATGATCGCTTTGACGCGCAAACAACTTCTGCCGCTCCACGTTTTGTTGGTGGAAGCCTGATGCTCTTCATCGTCATAGACAGAATGATTGCGGCCTTTCGCAGCAATCTCTCGACGATTCTTCACGCTTGCCACGCCTGCAAGGTTGACGAGAGCGTGCCCTGCGCCTGACACTGGAACGGCTTGTCAACACATGCCAAAACACTGACCCCGACCTAAGATGTCAATGTTTGTGCTGGCTGGAGTCGCGTGGTACTTGACCTGAGCTGGCTCTCTATTGGCAAAGCTGAACTTGTCTGCCGGAATGTGCTCGTCGGAAATGAGGTTCTCCATTGTGTGTGAATTGCTGGGTTGCATGCCAGCTTTTCATACATTGCGGGTTTACGACCGGCGCCATGCGCTTTGTAGCCAACAGGCTTTCATTGGTCGTCGCTGAGTCGTTTTGAGTGGCTTGGATCAGCTTCTTGTCGATGGCCTCAGTGCCAGAATGTTGAGAAGCATCATGGCTTGCCATCATCGCCATATAATCTGCGCAGGAAGCTCGTGACGTATCATTCCAATCGTCATATGAAGGCTCTGGAGGCTTTCTCCTCTTCTTCCTCTGCTACGCTTGCGTTTGACTTTTCTTGTCTTCTGTCTTTTGTGCAGTTTTTTGTTCTTGACACATGCTGGGTAAAGAGTTGAATGCTCTCCTTCCTTCGCCTGTCCCCAATTTGCTTGATCGGATATTCTGTGTTTTCGTTGGCCAGGCGGGCCTTTCGTTGCTCTTTTGAAGGGTTTGAAGCCAGACTGCCGGTGTTATCTGTGGACTTGTTTTTTCTTCTATCTGATCTCAAATTTCGCTTTGACACACTTCCTGACTGCGAACGCGTCATGATTTCAAAATGTCTCTTGATATTCTGCTCAAACGAAACCTCAAAATTCCTTCTTCATCTTCAATCAAAAGCCTTCTTCTCCTTCGTATTCTCCGCTTGCTCGAAGGAAAAAGAAGATGTTCTGGCGTCCACCTCCGCTTGGCCGGGGTGGTAGATCCTGGGTTGCGCCGCCGTGAGACCGCAATTTCTGCTGCAAACCGCAAGTATGGGCTTGAGCCACAGATGGTGGAGTAATGGTTGTTTGCTTGAAGACCAACGGTTCAAAAGCAGAACGCCCCCCCTCAAAAGAAAACAAACAAAAGCAATGGCGGCCGTGCGCGACGGCGCGCAAGTAGGCGCAGCACGCGTAAGCAGGCCAACACGCGCGCAAACAGACGCACAGCGCATGATGCGCCTGGTGTCCGCCGCCAGAGGCGGGTGAGGAGGAAAGGCGCGCGCAACCCCCACGCACCCGCACACGCAAGACGCACACACACACACACAAGCGCGCAGCACGCACGCTTACATACCAGGGGAAAACTAACGCGCAAACACGCGCAAGCAGACACATGCATGCACAGAGTGCCCGCACAGACACAGACACAGACACAGACACAGACACAGACACAGACACAGACACAGACACAGACACAGACACAGACACAGACACAGACACAGACACAGACACAGACACAGACACAGACACAGACACAGACACAGACACAGACACAGACACACACACAGACACAGACACAACACACGACGACACACACACACACACACACACACACACACACACACACACACACACACACAACACCACAACACACCGCACACGCACACACGCCCGCACGCACACGCACACGCCCACACGCACACGCACACGCACACGCACGCACACGCACGCACGCACGCACACACGCACACCCCCACCCACCCACCCACCCCCACCCACCCACGCACGCACCGCACGCCGCACGCAACGCACGCACACACCCACGCCACGGACGGCACGGCACGGCACGGCCGGCGCACGCACGCAACGCACGCCACGCCACGCCACGCCACGCCACGCCACGCCACGCCACGCCACGCCACGCCACGCCACGCACCGCACCGCACCGCACCGCACCGCACCGCACCGCACCGCACCGCACCGCACCGCACCGCACCGCACCGCACGCGCACGCACGCACCCGCACCGCACCGCACCGCACCGCACCGCACCGCACCGCACCGCACCGCACCGCACCGCACCGCATGCGGCGCGCCGCGCCGCGCCGCACCGCACCGCGCCGCACCGCACCGCACGCACGCACACACGCACACACGCACACACGCACACACGCACACACGCACACACGCACACACGCACGCGCACACACACACACAGAGACACACACACACACGGACACACCGCCCAGCGCGCCCGTGAGGGGAGAGGACAGCAACAACCCCTCCCCCCCAAAAAACACATGGAAAGCAGGGAGAGGGGAGGAAGAAGAAGAAAGAAGAAACAACAAGGCGGGAAAGTGCAAAAAATTGAGAGTTCAAGAAAGGGAACGGACACAAGGGACAGAAACAAGCGCAGCCGGAGGAGGGGCAAAGGCAGCGGCGGCAGCCACGGCACCGCCGGCAGAAGCGACCAGGTGCTAAGCGCCTGCTGCCTGCGAGGTTTTGCCACACTGTCCTCTTTTGGATGCTTCGCGCGGTTGCCGTTTCTGCTGCTCCTTCTGCTGCCGCCTCTGCTGTTGCTGCCCTCTCTGTTGGTTGTCGTCCCTCTCGTCCTTGCTGTCTTGCGCTTGCTGCCAAGGCGGCGCGCTGCACCAGGCCCACGGCCGTCGACGGTGCGGCTGAGCGTGTGTCCAGCTCTAAAGGGAGAAAAGAGGAGAAAAGCAGAAAGGCGGCGGCAAGCGCGGCAGCGCAGAAAGCACACATGTAGGCGCCAACATGTAAGCGGGTTGCCAGACAGACAATGTGTGGCGCCTGCCCTAGCGGGCAAAGTGGGGGAGGGCCAATCCTTCCCTAAGCCGGCCGGCCAGAGCCGGACACGGCCTGGGAGATTAGGTAGGTTTGCTAGTTCGTCAGCGGAGTTGTTTTGATGGCAAGTAGCCAGTTCAAGAGTAAGCCAAGCCAGTGAACGCGACTCACTAACCAACTCCGTTGGCGGGGTAGCCAGCTACAATATCAAGTCGGGATGGCGCTGTTCTGAAACGATGGCCAGTGTGACAAAGTTAAAGCTCGCAAGCGCTGTCAACCGTGCAGTTGCCCTGCTTTGCCACTGCTTTTGGCCGGATTCGGGCCCAGAGGGCCGTCGAGATGATGTGGCCGGAAAGCGCGCCATTGATCCCACGCGGGCGGCTTCCCGACCGTGCGGGTGTCCACCATGTAATGCATGTTTCTGCGCTTCACGAATCTGTGCGATTGTGCCAAGGACCAGACAGAGGTTAAGTCGCGCCAGCTTGTGTAAAGTCGCATCGTTCGCGCAACTGCGCGCGTTGGGGCTTCGGAGGGAAGCGCTGAAACATTCGGCGCTCACATTTCCTTCTGTGCTCGCCAGGGCCCCGCCAAGTGCTGCGCGGGGCGAGCCCAGCCAATGGCAACAGGCGCTGCCATGTGGTTCGTTGCGATATGACTTTTCTATGGCGATTTTCCCGCTCTTGAAATACCAGCTCTTTTCCTGGTGTGCTTGATGGTTTTCCGAAAGGCTTCCCTGTAAAGAATGGGGGGTTTTATAGAACTTTCAAGCCGCTGGTACCTTGATACTTGTGTCCACCAACAAAGCTCGGGTTTCAACTTAATCCAACCGGGCAGCTAGAGGGTTCTCGGGATGCCCGTAAATAGGTGCGGCCACTTTTTTGGTTCTTCGCATGGTCTTGGATGACTCCCGAAATACCAGGTTTTGGCTCAAAGCCTTTTCTGAGCGCTAAGTCATGCCTGGCATGCCAGTTTTCTGAATGAACACTCACACATGCGAAGTTTCAAGACCTTCCAAGAGAGGGGTTCCCTCTTTTCAACCATCCTTGAATTCAAACACTGGCCGTATTTTTCTGCCAAGAAGGATCCTTGGCAGGAAGGGTTGGAAGATACCTTCGTATCTTGTCCTGCGTGATAAACTCCAAAGGAGCTCCTTCCGGGGCAGGGTTCTGGCACATAGGTTCAGGCTGGAAAGCGGTCCAGAAACTCAGGAGTCACTTTCCTTCCGGGGTTACGTCGGAGGCCTAGTAGTGCCCATGCAGCCAGGTGCCCGGGGCGCTGTCGGGAGTGGATCTGGGGCATGTGCTTTTGGGATGGTGTGCTTTCAGTTTTTTGGTTTCAAGGTGCATCTTGCTTGAAAAAATCCTCAGCGCCGCCAAGTTCATGTCAGACAAAATCATTAGAAAAAATGACGCGGGGTTGGATTGTACAGTTTGGTTTGGGGACACTGAGGCCGAGGTGAACACAGATCGTCCAAAAAAGCTTGGTTGCTGTTCGGTGTGGCCACAATGGCTGTGAGAATCTCCGCTCTTGATGGCCACCACAAGCTCCCCCATTGATTTTCGCTTTGGAATAACCTTCCAATGGCAAACGCTTCCAACCAAGCCTTGTAGGATGTTCGTCGCTTAGTCCATGTGTCCCACCACCGTCTTGGCCCTTCTTTTCAAAAACAACCCTGGAAAATCAGTTTGGAAGCAACCTGTAACATCGCCATGCGATGTTTGGAGTTGGACAGGGAGCCTACCCCCGCCCCCAAAGAGGCCCTCAAATGTTAAGGTCTTCTTTGGCCTTATTCGTCCCTCAAGCCTGCCGAAAAAAATGTGTTTATTGGGGGCGGGGTGCTTTCGGCAGGGTGCTTGAGTCGCTTTCTACTTGGGCATCACGGCGCACACAGCCATAGTTTTGAGTCACGGAAGTTCACAGTTGCTTTCAGACTTGCATGGTTTGAGTTGCCACAAAGATGACCGCTTTGCAAAGGATGCAGTGAGGTTTAGCAAAATCTTCTAGGCCACCTGCTTGAAGATTTGATTTCTATCGTGTTGGGTCCTGTTCATGGGCCGCCAGTGGCAGGCCATTGCGCGCGGCAGGCTCGAAGCCTTTGGTCAATTTCTTTCAGAACCTTTTTGTAAGGTGTTCCGTTTAAGGCCTGTTTCCCCGTAACAAGGGTCCACGCTGATACTGTTCGACTGAGTTGAGGAGCTGAAGGTGTGCTACGGACGGACCACGCTGGTTTTCGTTGGATAAATTGGCCTGCAGATGCACGCGGGATTCCCGAAGTTTGATCGACTTGATATGGTACGGTTCACATTACTATTCATATTTAGTCTGGAAAGTTGATATTTCCCTTTTACCGCCCAACTAACAACAAGTCCATAGATTGATTGTAGTTTTGACAGCCTTTGTTTGGTAGTTCGCCTAGTTTAATTATGGTCATGATTGCAGTATTATTATCTGATTAAGCCACGAAAACGGACAGCGCACCTTTTCACCACACAGTTGAGCCTAGATATCCAGCATGGTGTTCACGCCAATGAAACCGCACATGTAGCTTCAAAGTTATTCCACAAGAACTACATGTTACATGTTACATGTTACATTGCTTGGCGCTGGCCCCAAAACCTTATCACCCCGCCTGGGTGTGCTGCTAGGTTCGCAGCTTCACTCGTCAAGGTTTTCCACATTCAAAGTTTTCTCTGTCCGTGAACAGATACATGCGCCGATCACGCTGGATCCGCATCCTACACGTCTGCGGCGCGCGCATCTCACGTGTTCGTGTTGCCCTTCCAGGTGTCAGGTAAAGTCTGCGCATACGTCCAGTGAAAACCGTATCACCAAGAACTGCTTCGCCTCGCTCCGCAATCATCACCCACTGCTTCAGCCTCTCTAGTTGGTGTGAGTGAGCATTTGAGCTACTCTCCTAGTGAAAACCAATCTGCTGACAAAACTCATCTGAAATAGTCACATGCTGTAAAAGACAAGCAAACGAACCTTCCAAACGCAAGCAAATGTTCATACCTGAACACACTCGACAAATCCGGCCTGAATGCTTTATCTCGATTGGAGTAGCATACATGTGGGAATGGTAGATCCGATATGCGTACTCGCAAAGCCATGAAAACGCAAAGCCGAACCATGAAATGTTGCTGCTGAAAAGCTGACGCAAAAGTTCCCTGTTGTGACTCAAGGCTCTTGCGCCGTTTGCTGCACCCGCCTGCTCAAGCATTGTAGCTGCAAGCGTCAGGATCTTTGCAAACATGCCTGGCTTCACCGTGTCACCTGAATTCCAGATGCTTGTTTCTCTTGCAGCCACAGCATCCTCGCCTCAGCATGACGAAGTGTTCCCGGGCCCGGTCTGTTCACCAGCGTTCGTGTTGTGAATTGTCAAGAAGCTCCATGCGACACGGGTGCCCGTCACAAAATGACGTGGGCTGCAAAATGAAAAGACCATCGCGACCTGTGGAACATGTCACATATAGCTTGTTTTCGCAACTTGAAGGAGCAATCGTTCTCTGGTTTCTTGCGCCGCACTGTGTTGGAACCTTGTTCAGAACCCAATCTCCACAACTCATGCTCCTGCGACGCACACGATTTCCACGCCAACCGGCATCTGAATAGCACGGCAACAAATGAGTAGAACCATTCCCATGCTCACTGTTGCCAAAAAATGTGCACCAAGTCTGGATGTCTGCGCGGTCAACTGCAGGATAAAGGCATGTATGCTTTGCAAAATGGATTTTCTGGCATCGTCCAAGTATGGTTTGTTGTCGCGTTTGAGGCCCAACTTCTCGCAAACCGCTACAGTGTGTTTCATTTTTCTCAGTGTCATCGTTCCATCCAACAGCTCGTGCTCGCGTTTCAGAAAAATTGGTCACCTGGCTGATCCAACATTGACCAAATGATCTCAAAGTCTTGCTGACATGTTGGAACAAATTCTCCAGAAACCGTTTCTTCAATCAAAGCACTTGGTGCATTTCCACCAAAAGCCAATTAGGAAGGTCAAGCCCACCTTTCCTTAAGAGTAGCCCCAAACCGCGAAATTTGCATGTTTTGGTCCTGTTCCCGTCAGTGTGGCCTTGGATGGTTGGAAGGCTGGTCGGAGACGGTCGGAAGATGGTCAGAAGTTGGGAGATGGTTGGAGGAGGGTGGCATCTCTGGCTTGCCCGAAGTCGTTGCCGCGCTGCGTGTCCAGTCTGTGAAAACACTTCTTTGATCCAGCTTTTGAAAGCCCAGCCTTCTCGCGCACCGCGCTCGAAGCTGACAAAGTGCTTTCCATCGAAAGCTCAACGCCATCCATAGTGATCTTGTCAGTGACCTCGATTTCCTGTTGCGGGCCAGGCTCCGCAGGTTGTTCGCTCTTTCCGTCTTCCCACGAAGATTTTCCGCCTTCGAACTTTGCTGTAATCCCTTGCCTTTGCGGTACTTGGCTGTGCCTTTGTTCCCTTTGTAGTTCTTGCCGTAGCCCTTGAGCCAGCCCACATCCGTCAGGTCGTCGTCCTTCTGTGCCTTGCCAGGGTTCAAGAAAGGACTAAACAGCGTAGATTTGCAAACGGTCGTCCTTCAAAACCATCTCTCGAAGTGTAGCTTATGTACTTCCCTCATCAACATTGGCTATGTACTGCTTCAGAGCACCACCCAAGCAACGCAAGAGTAAAGCTGCTTTCACATCATCTTGCAAAACGTTTTTTGCCTTGCGTTCATTCTCCAAGAATCCGCGTTCCATGGACAGAGCCTGTGCTGACAAAGGTTCGTGCGGAAATTCTTCATCTGTTTTTGGAACGGTCAGCGCACTCATGAGCGTGTTTTGGGTTGTAACGCGTTCAAAAGTTGCCGTGCAGCTTCGTATCCGTTACCAGATTCAACTTGTCGATCTGCAATGTTCGACCTGATTCGACCAGCAATCAAATTGCTCAGCAACGAATACAACTGTGTGCTTCTGTGTTTTGTAACATCTGTCATGCCGGTCATGTGAACTTCACGTTCCAAGTTGCCTTCAATGTGCTTCAGCTCGCCACCGTTCTTAGCCGAAATCGCAACTAGATAACGCCGCATGGCCCACCACCAACCATGCCACATGCTCAGTTTCTTTTCCCTAGCTTGGGTAGCAGCTTAAGAGGATCAAGCCGTGTTTCACCTGCAGAACATTGCTGGTGCATTCGCAGTTGCCACCGCCGTTGTCATATCTGCAAACAGTTGCATCATCTCACTGCCAGGTTGCGCTGGCTGCGATCCAGACCCGGTCGCTTGCGGCTAGCTAGGCTGACTGCCTGCCATTTGTTGTAAATCGGAACCATCCATGGCTCCAAGCACCAAAGCGCTCACTATGCGTCTGCTTGCTGGTTGCTTGTGCCCCGGCCTAAGCTGTCGGCTCCCCTACCATGATTAAACCACGAAAATGGACAGCAGCCTTTTCACGACAAGGTCGGGCCTAGATATCCAGCATGGTGTTCAGGCCAACGAAACCGCACATGCAACTCCACAAGCCCTACATGTTAATCATTATCGTTACCCTGATTCGCAAAGCTGTCGACCTACAACTCATTACGCGCCTGAGCCAGTCCTTTTTTTAGACAGATGTTTCGGAGCGCGCGTACTGATGATATCTGTTAGATCATGCTCTGGCAAGTTTTGTCTGAAGCTCTGGCCTGAGCGCCAAGCCGACTGCCGCGGGCTTGCTGGCAAGCGCGGGGACACGGAGGTGGTCAAGTGGCGAGCAAATTACCAGGGCAGAGATGTACCCAACATGGGCACATGAAGTGTGGCCAGGCGACCTTGCTCACCATGTCCGTGGGTGTGGACAACTGGGCAAGGCCTGCTCCAGGCGACGATGAGATCTTCCCACCACCTGACGGTGATCCTCAACGTCAACAACCGCTCTGGGTGCTGCGCCATCGGGAACACCGCGACGCTCCGGCACCGTACCACAGCCATCCCGAGCGAGTGCGTTGAGGAGCGTGGCGACAACCAAGGTACTACGTCGACGCCGCCAGCAAGGAGAAGGGCGCCTCCGACAAGGCAATGTTGGAGCGGGCTCAGCGGCAGGCCTTCAAGCGGGAGCTGCCAGCAAATGCGGAGGCCGAATGGTCAGAATGCAGACGGAGCCCATTCAAGCAGTGCTGGGTTCCTCCAGCATCAACAAGAAAAAGCACGTGCTCAAGGCGCCAAAGCGGCTGGCCTGAGGCAAACGTGTTGGCTTTTGAAGGCCTCGGTGTGGTGGACAGCCGCGATGCATCCAAGGAGGGAAGCCCCAACAAGCATTGGAGATCCTGACGGTGCTCAGCCAAGAAGAAGTTCAACCAGGAGACTGGTCAGTATGTCTGAGGCTTTGGCAGGAGCGCGAGCCGGCGATGTTGCGGCTTTGGGGATGTGTGATGTGTGTCCAGGCCCAGGCTCCTTCACCTTCAGTGCTGAGACGTTAGATGTTCTTCAATGTGTATGTGTACGTAGATGTACACATTGGTGTGTCTAGATTCTCAAAGAATGCTTTTAGATTTGGTCAACATTCACCTACTGGAGAGTATGAGTAAGGCGTATCGAGTTCTGTCTGGGCGCTCTCCGCGCAGTCTCTCTGAGCTATCTCGCGGCGCAATGTCTCTGAGCAACTAGTAAAGTCTCTCGTCTTTCTGTGTAAGATTTTGCTCTGAATCTCTATACGGTTCTTTGGGCGTTTGCTTTGAGCACGCCAGTTGAGAAGTGTGGCAGCACGTTGGCGCGATTAACGCGCAGAATCGAGCGGGTTAGGCGGGCCCCACAAACTAGCATGTCCGTCAGCGCATGAGGCGTCGCCAAGAAGAGACCGCCTTCCACGTGCCATTTCTCAGGCTATCTTTTGGTGACCTCTTCTCATTGCTATCTACTTGCCGGAAAAGCGCCTTGTTGTAGTTTATAATTTGGTTTCAGCAGGGGCCCGCTCCTTATTTCTGCCCGTGTTGTCCGAACTGGCCTGGCGTCGCAAAGCTCATTTCAGATTTCGTTTGTCTTACCCCCCACTAACCAGGAACAGGCTCTGGCGTGTCAACTTGCTCGCTGGGCTGATCAGTGTCATTGTTCGCCCGTGGCCTGCGCGCCCAAGCGCTGCTCAAAGCAATTCCCCGCGCGGGTTATCCTCCTTCTTCTGCAGCTTGCTCTGCCTGGTTAAAGCGATTGCGGATGTTGCGCCGTGGCCGAGGCCGTCTCGATCTTGGGCGCTCAACGTTCTGTCGCCTGCTTGATCGCAAGATCGCCCACTGCCTTTGGGAGCGCTTCGGCAAGACGCAGCCCACAGGCCTCCTTGTTGCCCTGGAAGCCATTTGCAGAACAAACCCGTCGGGCTGTGACGCTCTCGCGCATAGATGTTGCAGGGCCACCCTTTCGCGTTGCCCTGCGCCCGATGGTGAGCGATCGGTTCAGTATCATTTGCTACACTACTCTCTTTTCTGGCATTTTCTGCTGAACACTCTGCGCGCCAAGGACAAATATAAAGCAAATACTTACGGGATGTGTGCCATCTTCGGACGGCGTAGACCAAACAAATGTTGTCGAACGCTTTCTTTGAAGGTCAGGAGCTGACGTTTCTTTGAAGGTCAGGGGCTAATGTGAGACCTTTCGCAGGTAACGGCCTGGCGTTCGCTGGTTGCGCCGTTGGCGCCCAGCCCGCAGGCGCCGTGCAGCTCAGAGTCGGCGGCGCCATCTGTTGCACTGTTTCCATCTACCCTGTCTTTTTGCTTGCTAAACAACATACCTTTCGTTTGTCCCACTTCTCAGCTTCATCCCGATGTTCATGGGAGGCTCGGGAGACTTCCCGGAGGCCAGACCGATGCGCAAAAGCCGGGTTTGCCTTCGAACGGTGGGAACACCCTCAAGAAAGGGCGCGGGGGAATTTAACATTGCGCTCGCCAAAGCTGTTCTGCCGACTCCATACGTGCAAGCAAATCAGGCTTAGGACCAAGTCGGCGGAGCCACCTTTGCACACTTGGCCTGCTACGATTGCGTGCTTCCAGCTGGGAAGCAAGAGCAGCCACGGTGCCTGCGTTGATGCTTCTGTTTGTTGAAGGCTCCTTCGGCTTCACGCTTGGGGGGGAGGGGTTAATCATCATGCGTTGAAAGAGAACTTTAGAGCCGGCTTTCTTTTGGTGGCGATATGTCAAGCAGGCGCACAAGGGACCCTGCTTTCAACATCCATCAACTGATGCATTGAAACGAAAGACTCTGACTAGAGCGCCGAGAGTTTCCGTGCGGGACAGATGAGAGAGAGAGAGAGAGACGTCAACGCACGCGCGGTGTTGCACTACGTAGCTTGCGCGCGACTGCAGGCCTTGAGCTTTTCTACATCCAGAGCCCATGTTTGCAGGTCTCATGAAAAGCCGGAAGCGTTGGAGCACGGCGTGTCGATATTGCTCTACTGGAGGAGCAGGCTTTCCTTTTTGGCGCGCAACCATCACGGAGCTTTTGAATCAGGGGCGCCTGCCAGGTGGTTGGTTTACTAATCGCAAAATAGGAGCTGCGCAGACTACAGATTTGTTTGTGTTAACAACGTTACAGCACCCGCGCTGGTAGTAAAACAACAGTCCATTAGCGCAGAAACGAAAATCACCGCGTGTCACAGGTCAGTCTGAGAACAGCTACCGCGCGCAGCTCTGGAAGATTGGGGTTCTCAATGATGAAGTATCGTGTGTACTTCAACTGAAACCCCGCAAAACAAATTTCGCGCTGTGGCTTGAACCAGACTTTCTGTTGGATGGGTGTTTTGCGTGTTTGACCATGGCCACTACACTCGTGCCATAAGGATGGCGCGCGCCTGTCCTTTCCTGATCTCCATGACCATGTGTCGTACTTTGAAGATTCGTCGCGTCAAGGCCACTTCTGAGCTGACGTGTTGAGGAGTTCGAACTGTTTTTCAGCACGCAGCACTGGCTGCGTCTTGCACTTCCTGCAAAGATCTGACGAACATGCGTCTTTCCTTTTCTGACGCAGCTCCAATGTGCTTGTTCTGGAACGGAAGCAAGGGCGTTGATGGTTCTTTCTTGTTTCCTTCAGCTGAGTAACTTTCTTGCTCCTTTCTCATTGGCCACCTTGGTGAGTCGTTCCAAGATTGAGTCCTACCATCCCTCCTTCAAGCGAAATGAGCTTGCCCTTCAACCGCGGGTAGTTGCGTTCGCTGTGGGCTTGATTTTCATATTGCACACGTCGTGTCTCACTTCATGAACTTCTTTGAGAGCGGTCTTGGGCTGGTTAGCTCTCTGCCAGATACAGTGCCAGCCCAGCTGCGCCTCTACGCCTGGAGCTTGGCGACATCTCTTGGGAACTGTCGTGCGAGCAGGTGAGCTCGCCTAAGCTCGTGAGACCCGCGCTTGATGTCAACGTGCTTCGGCACACGCCCCTAGGGCAAACAAGGCGGGCAGAAGGGAGAGAAGGAAAGGCGGGAATGGACAGGGTCGGGCAGACGAAAAGAAGAACGAAAGACATAAAGAAACAAAGAACGGTAGAGGGAAAGAAAGAGGAGATAACAGACAAAGAGGCAGACAAAAGCAAGAAAATGAAAGAGAAAGAAACACAAGCAAACAAAGAAAGACAGAAAGAAAGAACAGGAAGAAAATAAAGAAAGAAAGATAAAGAAAGATAAAGAAATATAAAGAAACAAGAACGGAAACGAAAGAACAAGAAAGCCAAGAAAGAAAAAACTTAAAGGACTAAAGGAACAACAAAAACAAGCAATATAAAAATAACATACACAAGACTCAGAGACATACAGAAAGAAAGAAAGGAAGCGAAGGAAAGAAGGAAGAGAAAAGAAGGAGAGTAACAAAAACAAACATGATGAACGCTTAGCGACAGGCAGAAGGACAACAAACCAGAACGAGACGAGGAAGACGGACAAGAGAGCAGAAAGGTGAAAAACAAAACGGAAAAGAAGGAGAGGAAGACAGAACAGAACAAACTATCGGCAGAAGAAAGAGACTTAAAAACGGAAAGAACCAAGAAGTTTTGCGCGCGCAGCCCAAAGGTAAGAAATGAAGACGGATCTACAGAACCGTCGCATCATAGGACGCACGCCCACGTGATAAACCAGTCAAGAAAATAATGAACAAAACTGAAAGGGAAGGTTTTATGCGACATCAGTGAGGAAGAACACCAAGAAGTACCACAGACCCTTAAAAACCCAGAAGCCAAAAAATAAACATCAATGAAACTGCAGAGCAACACACAGACAAATAGAAAGCCAGATCTGCCATGCAGCAGGGAGGCTTCAGCGCAACCACCGACGCTGGACAGCGCGATCGAGACCCTGCGTCACACCGCAGCGCTCAGGCACACAGACACTGGCAGACCTGTAGACCCATTTCTTAAAAATGTGGCCATGCCTTCACTTAGCACAAAAAATGATTTCAAACTTATCTGGTTTGGAGGTTTTTGACACCTCGCACCACTGCGTTTCGATACTAGCATGCATTCTCTATGGCCAACTCGGGGCCAAACCGCTTTTAGAAAACCATGAAGGTCATCCCTTCTTCTCAGCCTGGCGGACAAGCGGCTAACCCTGTTTTCCCCTATAACCATGTTCAATCCGCGGTCAACCTTAAGAACTGGGGATGTATAACCCTTAACCATGGGGGCAAACGGTTTTGAACTGCATTTGCAACAGTGGCTCCAAAAACCCTACAGCGTTCAGCGCTGTTTAGTACCGGAACGCATCGAATCGCAAGCCCGCTCACGTGGTACTGCTTTGTTTCCTGGCAAGTCAGATGCACAAGAAGGTTCGCGCACAAAAAGCAAGCCCTTCAGAGTGCGCATAGACAGCGCGGCTCAAACCTGCAAAGTCAGGATGGCTCAAGTTTGAATGGTGGCTCATGCCGCCAGGCCCTTTTGGTGATTTCAATCGCTGCCTGCATCTTGGGCTTCAAGCCCACCAAGTAGCGTTGCAGCACGGTGAGCGCAGCAGTCTTAGCGTGGCATTTCTTGATAATGTGGCCGGTCTTTCGCAGGGAGTCCTCGTCCATGAAATTGACACGGCGGGCCGGTGCGGCGGTTCTGAACAAGATCGTCAAACAAGTGGCAGAGGAGGTGGTACTTTGGCCGCGGGCTGAAGACCTTATAGGTCAGTTTCCCGCGGTAGCTGGCATGAAGGTGGATCATGGGCCTGCCTGAGAATCGGTGAGGGTGTGTTGGCCAGCGGCCCTGGCTTTGAAGAGCACAGTCATTGCGGCGTTCAAGCGCAAGTCTGCCAGCCACTGAATCAGCGAGCCTGCCGGGGCGGCTTTGGCGTGGCGCTCCACATATTGCTTGTTGCTGCGCGTGCCCACCCAGTCCTTGCGCATCAAGAAGTGCTTCGGGAAGCCTTTGCTATGCGGCGAAGTGAGGAAACGTGGCGTGGCGTGGCGATAGCGTTTTTTGACATTGGATCCACGAAATGCTCCACCACGCCTCGGCTGAACCAAGAGGTACAACGCGGACCCGACTAAGTCTCGGCCCACAGCCAAATGGATGGCGTCAAGTCAATGCGCACGATGCGCCGGATTGACGATATGCCCCCAAGGAAGCAAGAGCGGGCGGGGTCACCCATGGTGATTGTATGCGCGGCAAGAATTTAAGGCCTGGCACAAAAAATCCAGTCGCCTTTTATGCCAGCAAGCTGCGCCCGCACGCTGCATTCTTCAGCCCGAAGGCAGCCGAAGCGCTGCGCGATGTGCTGCAACACAGCCTGCAATGTGGCAGTGAACATGTGATGGAATGACGCAAATCAAGTATCACGACATCCGAGATCTTGTTGCACACGAACATCGGCGCAGTCCGCCATCCAATGCAGGGCCATGTGTGCGTGTGCAGCTGTTCCACTCGGCCTCGTCGCCGAACAGCAAAAGGGGAATGCTGTCAGGGCCGGGCGCAGTGATGCCATGCGCGGCTTGCATTGGCCAATACTCAGCGCTGCAAGTGCCAAGCACATCACGGTAGCCGTGGCGAACCAGGGCCTCGACCTACATGTCAACTGGCAATGCGCTGTGAAAAGAAACGGTTTGATGATTGAGGCTCCGGCCATGGTGCGCGGTAGGAGGAAGGGCGCGCTGCGTTTCTACCTGCATGCCCTGCTCGTCTTGCACGGGCAATGCGCAGCACGTCACCAGGGTTTCGAAGGTCATGCCGGCTGCTCTGAGCTTCTGGTGAGCCCGCGCTTCCTTCAGGGCGGACTGCCTAGGCATGACATGAAGCACGTCCCAGCTGCAAACAGAACCGCACATACAGATCATCCTAGGTTCACGGCAGTCTTCAGAGTTGCTGAGCCTTGGCCGATTTCCCTAGCTATCCTGACAGGGCGTGACAATGTCGTATGAAATATTTGCATGCATGCGTGTGCAAATGGCAGTCCGTTTGTCGAGATTTCGGCGCAGCAAGTCTATTTCGCCAGCTGCCCCACCTAGCGCGCAAGCCAGCCGATCAAAGCATGCGTCCGAGCGATGTGCATGTGTGGTGGCTCATGTGTGCGCATGCATCGAACTCGAGGAGGTCGAGGAGGTCGATCAACACCTGGCAAAGCAAGGGAGAGCAAAACAAGAAGGATAAAGCCTTAAGGCCCGCGCCGTGCAGAACATATCGAACTGCGCCTGCAACAAAAACTGCTCGAGCGCAGACGTGGCTGTATATGCATGCGAGTGCGAACCGATCTGCACGCGTGCATGTTTTACACCATGCGGTCGCGATCATCTGGCACAAAATCAGGCTCGATCCGCTCTTAGCGCTCTCACGTGCTGTTGTACGACCTGACGTAAGTCACAGGCGCGGGCATGGTACGCATGCGCGCTTCTCAGGCAGCGGCTTCTTGAGCTCTTGCATGGTGGCCTTGACTTGAGCCTTCTTCACACGCACGGCCGCAACCTGTCACAGAAACTCAAAAGGGCGAGCGCACACACGCAGGTTAAAAGCAAGTGCAGCCTCGTCGGCGATCCCCTGGATGCCGTCGTTCCACTGCTACATCTTTTGCCAGGTGGCAATCCTGCACGCAAGCGGATCCAACAAAACAAGACATGCGCAAATGCCAAGTCAAGCTGCAGGTTGTTCACAGCATTGAGCTCTTTTTTGAGCTCCTCACCTTGTGTGCTCAACCATGTGTGAGTTTGAAAACACAAATGGGGTAATTAGGACTGAGAGACTGGCGCAACTTGTCCATACGCTTGGCAAGCGTCAGCCCCTCAACGCGGAGACCCATCGGCCCGAGCTCAGCTTTATCTCCTGGCTGCGCTTTGGCTTGTTCTTGGGAGCAGGCTTTGCTTTCGGTGCTGGTGTACCTCCAACAGGAGAAACAAGCAGAGGGTGACTTACATCTAGCAAGAGGCCTTGTGTAGCCGGCGGCTCTGGCGGCGATGCTGCAGGGCTTACGCTTGCTGCGTGGCGCCGCCTGGGGTCATATCCGCCAGGGAGGGGCCGCTGTGGCTCCAAGAGCAGAGAGAAGCCCGCTCCCATTCATCGATTGGCCGCCTGCGGATCGACCCGGCCGCTGATGGTAGACCCAAGCTCAGTGGACTGAGGTTTTGCAATACCGGACGTCATCTTTGCTGGACAGGCAGGATCTGGGACGTTCGGCTGGATGCCACAGTGGCATTGTTTTTCTGCCTTGGTGGCAAACGCACGCATGCAAACAATACTCGCAAACCGAAAAGAGATGAGGCGCTGCGACACATCCCGCTGCTTCATCTGCTTGATTGTCAGCAACTCCTCCACCTCGCCCAGCTTGTGAGACTATACGTTGCGGCTCGCCTTCTTGACAGCAGCAGGCGCAGAAAGTCCTTGTTGGAGTCTTCCTCTTCAGGATCCTGCATCGAGTTCGAAAGCACAGGGCGAAGCAAAAAAATGGGCTTGCAAGCAGGAAGTCCTGGTCTTTCTTCATGGCTGGCATGCGCCTGAGCAATTGCGATGGGCTCCCACAAAAGCAGCCGGCCCACCCACCTGGCAGCCACTTGAGCCAGCGCTGCTGAATAAACTCAGCGCCTGCTAACCAACGAAGAGTCCAACCTACCGATCGAACTCAAAGTCCCCGGCCCAAAGCAGAAGAAGACGATGTCCATGGCAGCAGGACCTGGGGCTTGAGGCGCCACGAGTGCCGTGTGTGGGTTCCAGAGTGCGGATGCGTGTGCGTGTGTGTGTGTACATGTGTGTGTGTACGTGTGTGACATGTGTGACATGTGTGACATGCGTGACATGCGTGACATGTGTGTGTTTCTGTGTGTGTAGGTTTGTGCGTGTGTGAATGCATGTGCTATGGCTGGTTTTGCATAAAGCCGGGCAGACCAGAGGAACTCGAACGCCATTTCACCTCAAAAGCTCAAGTTGAAATTTCGCTAGTGGTGTCTGCCGTGATCTGACACATGTCAAGCTCTCATTGCGACACACGCCTGACAGCCTGGCTTGTCATCATTTGAGAGCGCGCGTGCCTCGCCTGCCGGGGCAAAAGTTGTCATGCGTAGCGGACTTGAGCCATCGCGCTGAAAGTGACCGCTTTAAGACCGAAGTGGCCACAGAAGCTGCACGCTTGCAAAAAAAGCCACCGCCAACTCACAGCGGCGCGCGTTTGACTTCGCAAAAAAAATTAAGCACGAAATGATGATTTCAGTCTTATTTTTGGATGTAGCATCTAGCCACTTTTTAAGGCCGAAACAGATCTACGGGGAACTAGATGGAAGGCGCCCCAAAGAACGGCGACTCAAACCAACAGCTGCAAAACGTGCCAGAATGCAAAGGCAAGCGACAAAAAGGCGCGCAGAGACACAAAGAGACGCACGAAATGCGCCATGACAGGCTGAGGGGCAACGAGGAGGCAAAAATCGGCGCACAAGGCCACAGAGAACCACTGAAGAAACAACAAGGCACAAAGAGAGAGCGTCTGAGACTCCATTGCGCGCAAAGAGGCTAGGAGACAAAATTAAACCCTGAGATACTACACAAAATTAAATAGGCACACAGAAACACCAAAAGACGCAAAGAGCTACAAAGAGATGGAAGGAGACGGAACCAGCCACAAAGAGATGCAAACCAGGCACAAAAAATTCACGGATACCTTGTTGCACATGTGCGCCCAGACAGCCGTCCACATAGACATGCCATGAGAAGAGGGCGGACACGGGCACAAGGCCTACCCAGGTGGGTTGATATGCGCCTTGGGGTCTTCCGTCACTTCACCAAAAACGCACAGCACACCCAGGTTTTGGGCTGGGCAACTCAGTACTGCTGCACTGATGCAACATGTTGAAAGGCCAGAAACAAGAGTGATAACAAGGAAGGCTTGAGGAAGGTCAAGGCATGTCATACAACCGGGTGAGAATTCAGTGTTTTCACCCAGATTGGTCAAGCCTTGGGGTCCCCGTACTTGAATCCTCGGTGAGTTCGTCCGGGGTCTCGACGCGTGGGCCAACGGCTCAGGAGAGGGCCACAGCGCTCAGCTCAACCGAGAGGCGACACGTCTTCAAACCCGAATGGTACGCTTTGCGATCGGAACCTATCAGCTCTCGAGGACACGGTGGGTCGGCAGATCAATGACTTCATCAAGGCCGGGTGGAGCAAACTCGCATGGACTTCCCGGCAAAGACAGCTTCCTCCTTGGAAAGTAGGCACCCACTCAAGACATTTCAAGTTGGTAGTATAGTGTGCGACGCAACATTCATTTTTAGAGCACATGCCCTCAAATGGCTTCTTCAACGGCTCCTACAGCAATCAGGGTTCTTCTGATTCTTCTTTGACCATTCGCCAATTGTTAGACCCCCCCAAAAAGAAAACATTTGCCCTCAAACCTCCTTGGAAGAGTCATATTTGCTGGTGGGTAAGTCAGAATTTGCAGACGACGGTGTTTTTGGTCGACACCCTTTTCTCGGTTCCATCGTTTTGCGCATTGAGAGTAGTGAAGCCTGCTCTTTGAAATGGCTGGTGGTTGCACAATCCCAATAATTATGTCCACCAAAAGGCACGGCCAACTCAAGTTCAGACCTTTGGCGTTTCTTGTCAAGTTCCACATTCCTCGCGAGCCTAGGCTCGGCTGGGAGCCAGCGGTTGCCAAAGCGCCCGGAAACCGGTGCTGCCGGCTACAAATTGTCCGGAGCCGTCACCAAGCAACCGACCACACAAATCCCACCGAGTGAAGTGTGAGCTTGCCGGGAAGGGCACTTGGGTTTGTCTCAGCCTCAAACAAAGAAAGTCCTCACACTTTCCAACATTATGTTTTGCCCTGCTTGAGACATGCGGATGTCCCACAACAGAATTTTGACCTTAAAATGGTGTTCTTTGATTCCTCGACACTCCAATTTCGCCCAACCGTCAATGGCAACTCGTGGAAGGCAGCACCCGCACGCATCGTCACAGAGCCGGGGCCTGTGGCACGAAAAAGGACGTTCCCGCATGTTTCATCTGTCTGAGGCTTGTGCCATCGCCCGCTGCGCCGTCCGCCGCTTGAATCAATTTGCGAAAAGGTGCGATCCGCGGGGGGGGGGGGGTAGTGTGGTTTTCCAGTAAAAGGACCAGAACTTGCACCGAAAAATGTCGCAAGAGAGAGGAATTGCACGAGAAGTTGAGCAAGAGGAATTGAACAGAGAAACGGCAGAAGAGAACTGGCAGAAGAGAAATAGTGCAGAGCACGACAAGAGAACTTGCGCACTGACTTGGCGCAAGAGAAGTTGCACAATAAACTGTGCAAGAGACATTGCACGGAGAAACGGCACAAGATAATTTGGACAGAAGAAATGGAGCAAGCAAGGAGCAGAGAATTGGCACAAGAGAATTGGCACAAGATATGCAGTTGTAGTTAACATATAGCACGCAGCACACAGAGATAAATTTGAACAGGAGTGCAACGCACAAAAAGAAGCTCGAATTCAGAGAAGTTGCTCAAAAAAGTGCACGGAGAAACTTGCACGGAGAAGTTGCTCTGGATTTCTTGCAGAGGAATTGGCTTTGGAGAAAATTGAGCAGATTGGCGAACTCTCGCGGTGCAACTCTCTCACAAGGCTTAAAGACTCGTTGAGGCTCAAAGAGCTCACTCGATGGAGACACTCATTGGAGTATGAGACCCATATGAGACCCATATGAGTCATATGACTTGATGGAGACTTGATGGAGACTTGGAGACCCATTGGACAGACGAAACGCAGCTCCAGCTTCAGGAGCACAGGCGGCAGCATCGAATTCGATCAGCATCGAATTCGATGTCATTCGATCAGCATGTTCTTTCCAAGGCCCTGGCAGCATTTTCTTTGGCGCGGTATGAGCATTGCGAATTGGCCAAATGAAAAGCCGGGGCGGAAGAGGTGTGAACGCAATGCCTTGCTCAATCTCAGCCACGATTGAGTTGGTACTTCGATTCGGGTTGTTCACTAGGGTTCTCATGCGTTGTAGCCCAGCGGATGGTTTTCAGAGTAATGATTTGATGTGAACCCCAACCTCCATTGTGTCTGCGTTTTCTTCAGATTGAGGATTTGGGATCAGTGCTTCTTGTTTGGCTGTGCCAAGTGGGCGTGTTTGATTTGAGTGTACCTTTTTGGGTTGAGGGTGAAAGGAAGCTGTCGTTTTGGGATCCGCCATGAGGCAAACCCAGTCGGCATGGGGTGAGCCAACATCCTGAGGTACCGGCGTCGGCGGCCAGATCTACTAGTCCTTGCCCGGTGCGCCCTGAGTGAACTATTTTAAAAAACATGCCCCGAGAAATGCAAAAACATGCTTTACATTTCCCATTTACTTTCCAGTTCCGAGCTCAGGGCGTTTCCGAGTAAAAACATGTCCCATTTAATTCGACCCTCTTTTTCTTGTTCCGAGTCGAATTCGGCCCAAGGCCTCCCTTCGGGCCCGCTCCGCGGAGTCGCTCCGAGGCTCTTGCGATCCCATTGCGTTTCGTTCGGGTCGGGTTGCCGTGAGAGACTTGTGAGCCGCGATTGAATGGAGTGCTCTCACAAATGTCACTCTTGGTGGCGGATCCCTTTCAGCTTGTTTCAGCTTGTTTCAGCTTGTTTCAGCTTGTTTCAGCTTGTTTCAGCTTGGTTCAGCTTGTTTCAGCTTGGTTCAGCTTGTTTTAGCTTGGTTCAGCTTGTTTCAGCTTGTTTCAGCTTGTTTCAGCTTGGTTCAGCTTGGTTCAGCTTGTTTCAGCTTGTTTCAGCTTGGTTCAGCTTGTTTCAGCTTGTTTCAGCTTGTTTCAGCTTGTTTCAGCTTGTTTCAGCTTGTTTCAGCTTGTTTCAGCTTGTTTCAGCTTGTTTCAGCTTGGTTCAGCTTGTTTCAGCTTGTTTCAGCTTGTTTCAGCTTGTTTCAGCTTGGTTCAGCTTGGTTCAGCTTGTTTCAGCTTGGTTCAGCTTGTTTCAGCTTGTTTCAGCTTGGTTCAGCTTGGTTCAGCTTGGTTCAGCTTGGTTCAGCTTGTTTCAGCTTGGTTCAGCTTGTTTCAGCTTGTTCAGCTGTTTTCAGCTTGTTCAGCTTGTTTTCAGTGTTTTTCAGCTTGTTTCCCAGCTTGTTTTCCGCTTGTTTCAACTTGGTTCACTGTGGTCAGCTTGGTTCAGCATTGTTTCAGCTTGGTTCAGCTTGTTCAGCTTGTTTCAGCGATTCAGCTTGTTTTCAGCTTGTTTCAGCTTGTTTCAGCTTGTTTCAGCTTGTTTCAGCTTGTTTTCCAGCTTGGTTCAGCTTGGTTCCAAGCTTGGTAAGGATCAGCGCATGGCGCCACGTTTTCAGCTTGGTTAAGCTTGTTTCAGCTTGTTTCAGCTTGTTTCAGCTTGTTTCAGCTTGGTTCAGCTTGGTTCAGCTTGGTTCAGCTTGGTTCAGCTTGGTTCAGCTTGTTTCAGCTTGGTTCAGCTTGTTTCAGCTTGTTTCAGCTTGGTTCAGCTTGGTTCAGCTTG